CCTATAGCAAGAGACTTTCTTTACAGTATAATTGTATAAAGCCTGGCATTCAATCAAAAAACAAAAAAAAAAAAAAGGAAGATGTAGTTCATTATAGGAATCTATTTGTTTTAGCATCTATTGTGACTGTTTAAGTGTTTGAGTATTTATCTTAAGGGGAGAGAAAAGCTTTATGGCTAGCTAAATACAATCTTAATGCAGGTTAAAGTATCTTCTCTTTAATGTTTTTAAGGTTTAATTTTAATGTATGGCATTATTACTTTGTGGAAGAGAAATTAAATGTAATGTAGTGGGTTCTAATGGCACATGATGTATCTAATCAAAGCTTAAGAGAGAGAATAATGCTTCATGGATAAGAGCTGCCACTCAAATTACAGCATTTTGTATTCCTTTAAATGAATAGATGTTAAGTAGATAATTGCCATTTCATGTCTGATATCTTAGTATTGTATTAACACTCACACACAAATGCAGGTCACAGCTTCAGGGTTTTGGTTTCCTCTCCTTCTCTTCTAATATTCTAGATTCTGGAGAGAAAAGTGAAGAAACCACCCTGCGATTTGTAAGGCTTGAAATTGGAAAATTTCTTTAATTTATTTTTATCATTCAATCTAGATAACTATTTTCAGTAGAGCAGCTTCTAGATGCTGTACATGGCTTACCTCTCACCGACAACATAGAGATCCAGCAAATGCCAACATTTTCAGTGATTTCACTGGAATGAGTTGTAGGGCCACTGGGCCAGGTGACATCATCTAGGCCACCAAGGTCAACCGCAACTGCTCAGGCAGACAACTGAAGTCCAGGCATGGGCATTACATTAATGCTATCATAAATTTTTCATGTTCAATCATTAAAGGAGTTTGAGGGTTTTGGTTTAGTTTTGGTGTTTCGTTTTTTCCCACTACCACTCTTCCTATCAGAGAGATGTTCTAGAACCTCATTTCTCAAACAGAACAGAAACTTCCTTCTAACTTCCATCTTAATGAATTTATGGCTGGTTTATACACATTTATTCTTATGCCAATGTTGCATAATCTTTTTTTTCTTCCTTGTTTTTATTTCCTGACATATTAAGACAGCAATGATATCTCCCCCCAGAGGCTCTAGGCATAAAAGGGTAATTATGCAGTAAAGTCTAGAGTTGAGCAGCAGAAGGCACATCCACTACTGAGCTGCCCATCTTTCCTTGGGATAGCGGGATGCCAGCTTCAATTAACCAACATGGTTATATAAAAAATACAAATCAGTCCTTCTCTAAAGATGTTACATTTTATATTGACTATCTTCCTTTAAAATTTACTAGCTTCACTTCATCTAAGCTTCTTTTTATTTGGGAGCTTTGGGGTTTTTTAGGGCCAGCAACAAATGAACTTCTGGAAAAGGTTATTAGACTTCAGATAATGTTTTATAATTTTTAGTTGTTTCTGAGTAGTTATTTTTATCCAAACCGGCATCTTCTACAAATTCAATTTCTTTCAGTGAGTGTCCATACAATCATAGAACAATTAAAGATGAAACTGAAATATGGACTGTTGCAGCCAGCTTTCTTTACCTGTCTGCGGCAACAACTCCCGTTTGAGGTGAGATGGCACGAGAGCCACACATCCACCGCCCCCAGGCCACTGAGACACAGACACCAATATGAGGATATCACAAATGGCGTTTGTTAACTCTCTTTCACTGCTTTTATATGCAAACTACTTCGTTCCCGCCTTTGCAGTTACATCATAAGCTCTATCACGGGTCAGTCAGTCCCTATCCTTTCCATACATCGCGAGATCTTCCGGTCGCCAATCCCTACAATGGACCATGAACATCCATGAGAGAAGAAAACAATGGAGAAAGCTTCCTTAAGAAAACTTGCTTTTTTCCTTTCAAGAGACCAACTGTTCCACTTTTTTCACTATTGGTCAGTTCCTGCTGTGACTGACGAGTTCCTGCTTCGACAGCTACCCAGCCTGGCTAATCAAGTGAATGAGAACCATTCTTCTGACTTTCAAAGATAACTTCTAGCTGTCAGTAAGTATGAAATAAAGTTGAACAAAGGACAAAGTGACACAGATCCAGCAAACACACCAAAAAGCTAACAGAAGAAAAATCCCCAGTTGTGCTTCTCTTCAGCTGAGGTAGGGTTAAATGCAAAGAAATTAATCAAATTCAGAGGAATTCTCATCTGCTAAAAATAGTTTAATCATAGAAAGATCTAAGTTCTGCATGTTCAGAAAAGCAGGAGACAAAATATTCTAAATCAAAGACTGATTCCTTGGAGCACACATTTTAAAGTATTACCTTTAAGCAGACTAAAAAGTAAGTTTCTTATTCCACCCCATTAAGAGATCGTCCTACTGGGCTGCCATCCAATTGCAATTGATACCCCTTAAAGTTCAATACGTTGACCTTCCTGACACAAAACTCTTCTTAGTAACTCTGTCTTAAGGAGCAGAGAGATGAAAGAGACCTGAGGGAAAAAAAAGAAAAAAAAGGGGCAGGGGGAGGGGGCAGAATTGTGCACTAAGCATCAAATGTCACTTTATGGAATCTGGGGAAAGAATGTAAACTTTCCACCTCTTTCCTCAAATCTGCATTGTAGCTGGAACAAACAAAAACAAAGATCGACTACTTTCTTAAGCACTCAGGTGCTGAGTGCCAATACTGTCTGGAAAGGCAGTATTCAATCTACTACAGTTGTACTACCCTTTAAAAAAGAAAAAAAAAATTAAAAAAAGTATTATGACTTCATTCTACAATCCAGACCTGTGCATGTATTTGTGGCTTTAAAAAGATTTTATTCAATCTCTCTGAACACCTCTGCAGATCATTCAACCCACTAAAAAACTTCCAGTAATACTTAGAAGAGATATGGAAATACATATTATCTTGCAGAAAACAGAGTAAAAAACCAAAAAAACCCATGAAACTAATAGACATACTGTCAATGCCCCACAAACTGGGGCATCAGAAAATTTTCCTCCCCGCTGTTCCAGATATTTATAAATAAGTATGCAAGTCAGGGATTCTTATGCCCATCTCAGAAGGCCATCTCTATGCTCCACTGACAAACGGATGTCTTTATGCTCAACAGGAAACAGCCTCTTAATCAATTTTATCCCTTGCATGAGTACAATCCCAATAACTACCTAGTATCAAGCTATCGTTAATTATTATACAATCTAAGCATAAACAAATTTCAACTGAGAAATAAAATTCAGTAAGTAGAATGAACCTTTTAACAACTATACATATATCTGGCCACAAACAGCTTTTCCTTCATATTCTAGTCCCTCAGCTCTACCTCTCATAGCAGCTGGATGAGAGGTAAAGTCTCTAAAGTGACTAGCAATTACATTTAGATGTTAGTATCGCCCACAGGTGTATTTCAAAATGCTTAAGTGCTAAACTTACAAATTCATAAATTCACCCATGAAGGACACAAACACTGTTATCAGTTTTACTAACAGGCAATTTATTCAATCCTTTATCAAGCCAAACTGTTGGGGAAGCCAATAATATTTTGGTGCAATAAAGGCGTATACACAACTTGTCACAGAATATTAAGCATATGCAGTACTACTTGTGAAGTCAGTGACAGCAAATGCTGATAAATGTGCAGAAGCGTGGGTTTTACCTTACTAACCTGGCCAAGTTGAACTATACAGTTCCAAGCCCTTAAATCACCTGGCAGGCCATTTGTACTGCAGAAAGCATGAATTATGATTCTTTGACTCCTTAAGGTTTCTTCCTTATTGCAGAGTTGCTGTAATGACTTATATCTAGGACACTACCACAGGATGGATGTTCTACAGCATTTGGAGTGGGAAGTGAATCTAGAAGTGATTCTTAAATGACTGCAAGAAACACCCTTTGGGTTTTAAAGTGTGGGGAAGAAAACACATAGCATGTCTCTCTAGAAACTTTTGATTTTTCCGCATTCTCTATTATGATACACAAAATTATTTTAACAAAAGGGCATAAATTTTCAATATCAAAAGTGAAAACTACAGAGGCATCTTAGTACTGACACAGCTTGTTAATATAAATTAAGCCCTTGTTTATATTAACAATATACTTATGAAAAATTATTTTCTTTATATATACTTGTCACCCTTGTAAATATTGAAATAACTTGCACAACTTTCAAATAACATATTCTTTGAAATTTCTGCAGTAAAAGCTTGTAATATTTGTTATTTGTGTTGATTCACATGCCATTTATCTTCTCTGATCACATAAGCATATAAAACCCCACAACATTTGTAACAAAATCCATGAAATTTTTTAGATCCTCACACAATGCCTAAATATCAAAATCTAGCAGCTAACAGATTCTGATGTGGACCTTTTTCCTGACAACATTTGTAAAACATTTCTTTACTGTTCTGCTGTCTCAAATAGTAACAGATCAGTAATTCTTTGGTTCCTCCCTCCATGTTGTTTCTATAACTTGTCACACAAGAATGGACAGCTGATAAAATGTTATCACACCAGGGATAACGAAAAAAAAAATCATCATAACTAGATGCCTCACAGAAGCAAGATTTACACTTTTGCCATGCATCTGCTATGAGTGTAAAAGTATGGCTATTTCTTCCCATTAAAATACCATCAAAATTATATGGAGAAAAAAAGTTTTTTCTATATGGCAATCTGGTATACCAAGCTTGCTCTATCTTACCACAAATTTAACATTATCCATCTGTGCATTCATCTGTTTTACAGAGGCAGTATGAGCTCAAGAAAAGGTGGAATCAGTTTCCATTGTAGAAACAGCGAGAGGGAGAGAGCAGAATGAAGAATGACTAGGAAAAACCCCTCATACCTAAAACAGAGCTGCTGGAGAGATCTGCAGCTTCCAGGAACTAGTAAGCACTGTGAGTTTCTTTCCAAAACAGTTTCCTTCAAACATCATATATTCAATGTATTGTGTTAAGTAACTGAGGTAAATTTGCTGAATCAGAATGAGGGAGCAGAAGAACGGGGCTGCATATGCTAGAGAACATGGGGGGTAAGATTCTGGGAACCTGGGACTGACAGAGGGGTACTAATAATGATTCAAAAACAAGAGGTGGAAAGGCGGCTGGCGGTAGGGCCCAACCGAATCCTGGGAGGATCCGGAAGAGGTCGAAAGAGAAAGGGCAAAGAAAAGGGGAGGTTAAGTTATGAGAACTCAAAAGTTCCGAGCACAGCCGAAACTTTCCGAGCCCCAGTAAATCAATCAGAAGAGACTGCCGGAGAGGACGATCTCCTGTGGGCAGTAATGGAAGCGACCTATAAAACCTTAAATGCAACTAATCCGAATTTCACGACCTCCTGTTGGTTATGTTATGACACACAGCCACCATTTTATGAGGGAATAGCAGTATCATCCCCTTATAATACCTCAAAGGAAAACCATCCTCACGAGTGTAATTGGAAAGAAAAGAAACCCCGGATCACACTCCAACAAGTCAGGGGCAGCGGCTGGTGCATAGGGAAAGGATCTGGAAATCTGAATCCTCTGTGCGCAAAAACGACTGCTGACTTAGCCCCAGACGTTAAGTGGGTTCTTCCCAGTCCAGGAGCGTGGTGGGTATGCGCATTATCAGGATTGACTCCTTGTCTCTCCACTGCAATAATCATGAAAGATGCATCCGAGCTCTGCATACAAGTTATTGTGATACCGAGGATACTTGCCCACAATGAGGAAAGTATGTATCTCTATTGGGATACCTCAATCCATAGGATCAGTAAGAGAGAGCCCATCTCAGCCGTCACAATAGCTACCCTGCTTGGGTTGGGAGTAGCCGGAACGGCCACTGGTGCGGCCTCCTTGGTACAACAGCAACAAAGGTTTAGCTCTTTACGAGCCGCAGTAGATGAAGACCTAATGAAAATAGAAAAGTCTATATCTTACCTGGAAAAATCCTTGACCTCATTATCAGAGGTGGTATTACAAAACAGGAGAGGGCTGAACCTATTATTCTTGCAGCAGGGAGGAGTGTGTGCCGCCCTAGGTGAGGAGTGCTGTTTTTATGCAGATCACACCGGGGTGGTCAGGGACTCCTTAGCCAAACTGAGAGAAGGACTAGAAAAGCGGAAACGAGAACGGGAAGCACAGTCCTCATGGTACGAGTCATGGCACAACTGGCCACCCTGGCTGACCACCCTAATCTCTACCATAGCAGGACCCCTCGTAATCCTTCTATTGGCCTTAACCTTTGGACCTTGCATTCTCAGTAGGTTGGTGTCCTTTGTTAAGGACAGACTGGGAGCGGTACCATTGATGGTAATAAAACAATCAGAAGTGGGAAAGAAGGAGACGATCAACGATTCTGAGTTATCCGCTGCCAGAGACGTACTATCTAGGTTCGATCAGCAAATTTAGTATACATAAAAGAAAAGGGGGGAATTGTGTTAAGTAACTGAGGTAAATTTGCTGAATCAGAATGAGGGAGCAGAAGAACGGGGCTGCATATGCTAGGAATGTATATGCTAGAAAAAAGGATATAATATCGGTTAAAACCAGCCCTGTGGTCCGGCGTCAATATGCCATGTAGCTCAGTCCTGTGGTCTGCTGCAGCCAAGGTTACTCAAGATGATAAAGAGGGACCCACCTCCTGTGGTCTACCACCGGCCAGGTTACTCAAGATGATAAAGAGGGACCCCGCGGCCTTTCTTCAAAAACAACCCCTAACGACCACCATTGCGCACGCTCAAGAGGAGGAACCTGCTTGAAGAAAATTTAAATACGAGGCGAACAAGGGGTGATGAATATTAATGTAATAGTTGTGAGACATGATAGATATGTAAACTAGCTCTGTATAAATAAAGGCCAAAAAGATGTGACCTGGCGCGCCTAGGTGGAGCTGCGACTCCCCGGCCGCCCAGCGCTGCTTTTGCTCCCTCACTTTAAATAAACCCTTGATTGGACTTATGAAGTAGTGGTCTCAGTGTTTGACCATAACAGTATGACAGGTTTAGGAAAACCAGTTAAAGAGGGATTTGGGCTCTCAACAAAAGGAGAGCCAGCCAAGAAGCACCTTTCATTTAGGCTCAGTAAGGGTCGTTCATAACTTGCACTAAGAACCCAAGCCGCTTCACAGTGACAGCCCTACAAGCAAAACGAACAGTTTGCAAGTAAAGCCAAGATATTTCTTCTTCTAGAAACATCGAGTCTCTGCCAGCCTGAAGACAGCAGCAAGGAGCATGAAATGTGAATGTGATTTCCCTTGGGACTACACATTATTACAAAAGACAGAGGCTAGATTCTCGACAGCTTTCTAGGATCTCATGACTTCAGATTTACAACGATTTACAAGATCTTAGACAACGATTTATAGATTAAGAACAGTATCTCCCATTTATTTTTGTCACTGAATTTGGAACAGAACATTGCTCCACCTCATATTTTCAAAACAATCAAATGAAATCTTGGCGGGGGGTGGGGAGAACCACAACAACCATGAACCTGTTCAACATAAAACAAAACCAGTGTAGTTCTTAGGATCTTAGGTCACACACAGCCAACTAGCAGAATCACTTGCAAATACTAGAGGTGACAGCCTGGCTGCACTGAAGTCAACAAGGTTTCTGCTACCGATCCTAAGCTGCTGGGGTTTCACCTCATCTTTTGTGATCTCGAGGAACTAGTGCCTGGTATCACAGCACTGGTCTGTTTAAGACAACATTTCTGCGTGCAGAAGAAACCCGTAATTCCTGCTCATTCATAGCATCCATGATTTGGTTAATGTAACAGAAGCCAGGGTTTAGCTAGGTTATCATCCGAAACAGGTTTAACATAGAGCCTATAATCAGCAGGATTCTTAGGAAAACAAATAGCCTTGAAGGGATAATGGTTATTTGGAAGTCAAGTTATGTAAAACATATTTCCCCCTGTGTTATTGCTTCAAGTTGTTTGATTGCACCTAGTATGTGTAAAGAGTGGAAATTATAGAATCTTCACCCTGAGTGGTTTAGGCTCTGTTGTTGTAATAGCTACTTAAGTTTTAAAGGGTTTTCTTGCCTTTTTCTTTTGGTCTTTCTTCATGCAGGTAAAAGCTGATAGGAGTAAAGTAATGAGACGGGATAAAGAAATTTGCAGCCAAGGAAACTCTGCCAATTTTCTAAAACAGATGCCAATGCTTTTGGCACCTTCTTGTAGTTGACTAAAAACTGAGTCCAAATTTATCATCAAAGAGCTAGCCAGGCATGCAGATTGCACACATATCTCCCTCAAAGGAAAAGCTTACAAAGTTAGACAACTTCACAGTATCACTTTCTCTTAAAACACAGATCAAATAACCCTCCTTGCTTCCTCCCAGCACAGACAACACTGTATCTACTACAGTATATACACAATTGCATTTCTCTTTACTCTTCTATTATTATCCATGTATATTGTACACATAACAGACAATAAGATACACTGGAAGTAAATATAATGCATCCACACATACCAGTGCGTAGCTACTATTTACCCCCAATATTCCCAATACAGGATCTGAACTAGAAAAGGGGAGCATCAATAGAGCAACAAAATGCCCCTGCTTTACTACAGACAATCTACTTTTCACAGTTTCATCCTGTCAGTAAGAGTGCCAAAGCCTGGCTCCATGTCTGTCTGCAAGCAAAGCACTTCCTCACATGTATTCTTCAAGCAATTACTAGAATTGCACAATGTAAGTACAATACCACTACCCCTGGCTAGCCACAGTCTTCAAGGTACATGTGCATTGTTGGACCAAACCCAATTTCCCATATGCCTAAGTTTTGTTTATAAATAACATATTCCTGCCAGTGCTTGAAAAGAGGTTAGAAAATGGGACACATGGATTTTTGGGTAAAAAGCCAACAGTCATTGAATTTTGCTCTTCTATCTCATTCTCCCTTCTGTTTTCCTTCATTCTCAGTCATCAGCATGGAGAAAGCAGAAAAACCTTCACCTTTCAAATCTGGACACAGCAAGCCTGCTATATTCCTAAAGTAGGCTGAAAAGTTTTTCTTATGGAAAGACTTGAAAAATGGAAGCTATTTCTTAGAAATAGCATTTTCTTGTACGCATAGGTTTTTCTGTATGTGTAGAATATAGGAAATTAATACCGTTGTTAGAGCTGTAATTTTTTTAATTTCCTGACTTAAGAGTGCGAATTGGACTCAGTCATGCTAGGATTTCATTCTGAAGCTTTGTATTGCATAATCATAACAGGTATCATAGTCATAATATCATATTTTTTATATACATAATCATAGTATGATGAAATACATTAAAAGTAAAATAGAACATAGAATGATAACACTGCATTAACATGTTCTTTTAATAGGCTACACAGTCCACACAATGCAGCAGACCCTCAGCTGAGGCAGACTGTTGTAACTCTTTACCCAAAGCTAAGCAGCCAGCTATACTTACTTATTGGGGGGGAGAGAGAGAGAGAATTGGGGGCGGGAAGAGAGTTTGGGGGATTTTGGTTTAGTTTTATTTTACTATAACCATACCTACTTGAGAATAAGAGGACCAACACATTTTGACAGTCTGATGCGTGTTCAAATTATACATGTATATATGGGATACCAAGTGTGTACATGTTTGTGTACAGCTCATACATGCAGCACCTTTCTGAATTTCTGCTTGCTCTCTTATAAAGGTGTATATTTTATAGGCAAATAAAATATTATTCATTTTTCATTATACTTATCATTTCAGGAAAGCAGATTGTTGCCAAAGTCACTTAATTTTCACATTCATTTTACAACGTGGAGATTACACTTTAAGCAGATAAAAGAACCTAACTAACTAGAATAGGCAAACAAATACATTTTGTCAGTTTTGCTCGAATGTTATTAACTCAGGAGTTGAAGGTCATGCTTCATCTCCTTTAAAAAAAATAGCTTTCCCTTAAATTTGTATTTCTACGTCTTTTTCACTTCTCTAAGATCACTTTATAATTTCTCCTAATTTTCAGATAAATATACACACATACACCCCAAAAGCGACTTAACCCAAGACAGCTACTTCAGTAAGTTACACATCCTCAATATCATTCCTAATGCGTCACACATGCAATAGTCTCCTAGGACTATGTTCTGCCCTCCACTATGCAGGCAGCTTATTATTCAAAATATGCAATGAATCATTAATGATACACATCTGCAGAGGGGAGATCAGAATTAAGCCCTTAGTCAGTGTGTAATATTTTCTATCAAACTTCATCTATCAGGAGCAATGGTACTTCGCCTACCATTGCCAAAAACAAACTGAAAAAAAAAATTATATAGTCTATATGATTTCTTTCTGTAGCGTCTACACTATGTACTTGGGACAGGTATTATACTGAGTGCTCTCCTATTTCTGCTTGTGCATAGATTTAACCCAAGTGTTGTATGTTGTGCTCAATGTCCATCTTTGGGGAAGGGCCTATTCTTTGAATACTATTTTCTCTCAAACAGCCTTTCTAAAAGTACAATCCAGAAGGTAGTATGAGAATATAAGAATGACTTTGAGTCAGTAGCAACTCAGACAAATGATCCGTTTAGCTTCTCCTGCTGTCTTTAGCAATGTCAGCCATCCCTACTGCTAAGGTAGCACTGGTTTTGGTTTTGTTTATTTGTATTACGAAGAAGGCATAATCCCTTATTTAGCCTGCTTACAGCTGATCCATACAGCTTAGCTCTTTTATCTATTTCTATTTCATTGCCAAACCTGAAGAGACTAGAAGAGGTCCGCTAGAAAAGGGGAACCTCAAAACACATCCAATTTCCAATTACCTGGAGACTTACAACAAGCCACAGTTCTCATTTTACAACTCCAGGAATTACTTTTCTGTCATGTAAGTGTATTTATTGTTCTGGAAACTAGAAAAAAGCTTTTAGAAATTTTGACCAAAACCTGCTTCTAGAACAAGAATATTTGCTTAGACTATACCTACAATATTTTGTCACAGATGTCCTGTGAACTAAAATAGTTGGAAAAAATAAACTGGAAAAAAAAAATCATGAAAACTTAACACAAGGAAGTGAAAAATGGTCTCAATCTTCCTTAATGTTTTTCCCACACACAGATATTTTTGTTAATGACTAAGCATGTATTATGGTCCCCAAGGACTTTCTCAGCATGCCCATGTTCTTTTTAGGGCCCCACTGGATCTGCACATTCGGATTGACTAGGTGTGCAAATAGAGTTCTCTGCATACTGTGCAGGTGCTTTGCCCATGGTGTTTCAACAGCTTAAGGCAGCTCTGGGAGAGAGCATAAGCTTTAGACCCACACACCCTGCACCCAAAGCTCACCCCAACTTTGATAACCTTCAAATCTGGATCCCAGCTATTAAATATATTTATGTATGAAATTATATATATACACACAAGCAGGTTGAGACAGAAAGGATGAGTGATCCTGACATTTGCACCCCTCTGAAGGTGAAGGCAAGCAGTTTCCAATATCCACACCTTTCCTAATGCACAAGTTCTTTCTAAAAGTGAAAGGACTATAAGAAGCAAAGAGCTTGCTGCAACACTCCACAAAGCAGTATTCAAATATGACAAGCGTGAAGAATACATTTCGTGATAAAAAAAACCCTAGGTCTACTGCTGCCCTCAAGTGGGGTGGGAGAGAAGGAGGGAGGAAAAATTTTAAATGGATATACATTGTTGGCATAGCCAGAATTCTTTAGGAGGAGGACAGTACACTTTGTTAGTATATCTATGACCGGGGCTAAGTTCATACTGGCAGAGATAAAGTGTCTAAACAATAGCATGAACTCCATCAATGCTGGAT